TGGGAGTAGCAAGACCTATGATTAATCTATGACTATGGGAGTAGCAAGACCTATGATTAATGTAACATAGATGGAGAGCTGGAAGACACATAAGAAAACATAGATTCATAGAATCATAGATGTAGACAGGAAAGGAAATGTAAAGGCCATTTAGTCATTGGGAAGAGTCAATAGTCAATAAACATTTATTTAGCATCTGCTATGTGCCAGACACTGTGCTAAGTGTTGGGGATACAAATATGAAAAAGAGAAAGATAGTCTTTAATCTCAAGGATCTTCCAATGCAATTGGAGAAGACAACACACAAAAGGAAACTGAAAAAGTAGGCAGAAGGTGGGAGGGAGAGCTACCATAGTAACTGATCCCCAGTGGGTTGTGAGTTGTGAGAATCACTCAGAAAAAGCATAGCTAATAGTCTATCTGCCAGAAGGAAGACAATTCAAGGTTGAGGAAATAGCATGAATGAATATGTAAAACTAAGAAAGTCATGTGAGAGGGTTGTTAGTAGATTAGCTGATATGAAGGGAGAGGACTGTGTGAAGGAAAGGAACAAGAAAGTGTGATGGACAAAGATATGGGTATAACGAGGTGGTTGAAGAAAACTGAAGCTAAGCTGAATAAAGAGGAATTGAGAGAGTGAGATAAGATGTTATAAGAAGTGGGAGCCCCTATTTGCTGGACAGCCTTTACCGGCCTTTCCTTCTCAGAATCTAAAATAGGCCAGCATATTTTATGTCAGTTGTGGTCAAGATTTTTCTGAAGAGAAAGAGAATAAAAAAAGAACAGTGAATCACCGAATTCCATGAGTGATGATATATAAGCACCTGAGTTACTTGAGTTGAAAACATGGAGTTACCAGATACTCTGTGGGTAGAAAATCAGAAGTGTCCCCCAACAACAGTAATACAAGATTAGGGAGGGCTTAGTGATGGCAGAATTCCACATGATATCAAGCAATTTGTATAAAACACAAAAGCTTCCTTGTTTTCTCATTGGAAACTCCCTAAAACAACATAAATATGGGTCCAGTCTCTACTCCTATTCTTGTCTCAATTTTTCACTATTCATTCAAATATTTAATGCTATTATGTGGCCTAAAGGAAAGAGCTCTGGATTGAAAGACAGAAGATAATGACTCTGACCTTTACTTTGACCCAGATATCCCCTCTAGCCTTGGACTACAAGTGTACCCATGACTTATTTTTTTAAACCTTACTATCTCCTACCTGACACATAATCTAAAGTCTTGCTACACAAGTGTAGCATTCTTCCTGTTAAGATATAGCACAAAATGGGTAATGAACAATAAAAGGAAATAGAGCTATCCATGTGACAAGTACTATGGGACCCAGATAAGTGATGCAATGAATCAATAAATATGCATTTATGAAGAGCCCACTATGTGTCAAGTGCTGTGATTGGTGCTGGGGATTGAAAGAAAAAAACCAATACAAACTATGTTCTAAAGGAGCTTATATTCTAAAAAGAGAGAGAATGTGTACAAATACAAGTATATGGTGAATAATTACAAAATAAATGTTCTTGTTGAGTCATGTGCAAGTATTTGTGATTCCATTTGTTTTATGTTTGTTTGTTTTTGTTTTTTGTTTTTTGCTTTGTTTTGTTTTATTTTGTTTTTCAGCTAAGGTATTAGAGTGGTTTGTCATTTCCTTCTCCATCTCATTTTCTGGATGAGGAAACAGAGGCAAACAGGGTTAAGTGACTTGATCAGGGTCACACAGCTAGTAAGTGCCTGAGGTCATACTTGAACTCAAGGAGATAAGTATTCCTGATTCCAAGCCCAGTGCTCTATCCACTGAATCACCCAGCTGTCCCTATAAAAATAAATATAAAATAGCTAAATAAAAGACAGGCAGGCTATCAGCAGTTGCAAGGGGTCAGAAAATGCTTTATGTAAGAAGTGGTGCTTGAATTAAGTCATGAAGGAAGAGAGAGAGAGAGACTCTATGAGACACATGTGAGGCAAAACAATCCTGACTTGGAGGATGGTCAGCATTAAGGCATAGAGATGAAAGATGTAGTGCTATGTGGAAAGATCAGAGATGACAATCTGGTTGGATTTAATAGTGCAGGAAGTCATTCAGTCAATAAACATTTCCTAAACATCTGCTGTGTTCCAGGGGCACAGTGCTTAGTGCTGAAAGGAAGGCATAAAAAATCTCTGTCTTCTGGGAGTCCATAATCTAGTAATCTATATGAGCCTGTAAAAACAAATTGAGGTCATATTGTAAAAGATTTTTTTTTAAAGTTTTTAGATAGTTTTATTTATGTTCTGTTGAAAATCCCCTATAACATTCATGGATAAACAATCATCCATAGTGCCTTTTATTCATTCTTTTTGCCAGCACCAATATGTACCTTTGCTGTACCCATAACTTTCTTCATTCTTTTCTTGTGCACCTTTCCCTGCTTTCTTGTCTTTTCTTTCTCATACCTTGTAAGTCTGAGCTTTGATTCATTTTTCCTTGTGAGGTCAAGGGAATCATAAATTATGCTAAAGTCTGTTGTTTTGCCACCACCAAAATGAGTTCTGAATCCAAAGACAAAAACGACATTTCGAATTGTCTTGTAGATCTTGGTTAGTTTTTATTGAATTTCAACCTTAGGCACTGTGATCTTACCAGGATGAAGGAAATCAATAATCATCTGTTTGTGCTGAAGAAGTCTGTTTGTCATGAACTTCCTGGTTCTGATCATCACATGGTGGTAGCTGACTCCTCAAGTGCAGGAGAGGAAGTAAAAAACTTTGAAAGACAAACAAGGGAGTTTATATTTTATCCTAGAAAAAATAAGAACATCAGCAGACTAACATGGTCAGATCTACCCTTAAGAAAAATCACTTTGGCAGCTGTGTGGAGCATGGATTGGAGCAGGAGGAGACACGAGGCAGAAATAACAGAAAAGTTAGATTATTTCTTCTGAACCTGGCTCCCAGGATATAAAGCTTAACTGAAGAGTTCAAAGGACCTTAATGATTCAGACAAAAATGCCACTGACATGAAGTAGGTGCATAATCAATAATGATTAATTAACCAATTCTATTCAAAAAGATCTTATTGAGGAATAAATGATTATATTATACGCCAGGTGCAAAGTATAGTGCTTGTAAGAAAAAGACATCAACGACAAAGATTAGCATTAATAAAATTCTCTTTAAAGTTTGTAAAGTGCTTTACAAATGTCTTTTTTTTTCTCATTTTGTTCTGAAAACATTCCTGGGAGTTGGGTCCTATTATGACACTATTTTCAGATAAGGAAACTAAGGCCAGATAGGTAAAGTGACTTGTTTATGAACTTGCCATAACCATAAAGCTATTCAATGTCTAAGGCTGAATTTGAGCCCGGATCTTGTTCACTTCAGATTCATCATTCTATCCATGGCCCCACTTAGATGTCTTGCTATAATGTCTAACCTTTATATAGTTTATAATTCACTTCATAATTATCTCACTTGATCACTTGCTGTTTAGTTGTTCTAGTTGTGGCTGACTCTTTGTGATCCAACTTTGGGTTTTCTTGGAAAATTTACTGGAGTGGTTTGCCCTTTCCTTCTCCAGTTCATTTTACAGATAAGGAACTTACTAGCTGTGTGATCCTAGGCAATCATTTAACCCAGTTTAGGTGCCTTGACTTGCCCAGGGTCACAGAGCTAGTAAGAATCTGAGGCCAGATTTGAATTCAGGAAGACTCATCTTCCTGACTTTCAGTCTGGCACTCTACCCTCTGCACCACTTAGCTGCCCCCATTTGATCATAGTAATCACTTAATAGATGTTTATTACCTGATTGCTTCTTGCTAAGAGATGAGCACTGTCACTAATGGGATACAAAGGGGGAAAAGACAAGAGTATCTTTAAGGACTGCATATTCTACTCACGGAACATGATATAGAGATAGGTAAATACAAAATATGTATCAAGTAAATACTTGGAAGGGCAAGGGATAGTACTAACAACTAGTTGGATCTAGAAGATGCCTAGGAGGGAGTACCCCATCTATACTTTGAAGGAAGGTATGGATTCTATGTAACAGAAGTGAGGAGGAAGAATGTTGCAGCTATGGAGTCCAGTCTGTATGAAGGTTTAGAGATGAGAGATAAAATACAGTGTATAGAGAATGGCAAAAGGGATCAAGGATTTAAAGCTGAAAGGTACCTTGGAAACCATCAAGTTCATCTCTCTTCCTTTAAAGATCACAAACTTGGGGCAGCTAGGTGGCTCAGTGGATAGAGCACCGGCCCTGGATTCAGGAGGACCTAAGTTCAAATCCGGCCTCAGGAACGTAACACGTACTAGCTGTGTGACCCTGGGGAAGTCACTTAACCCCACTGCCTAGCTAAAAAAGAAAGATGACAAAACTAAGGCCTAGAGAGGTGTAGTTGTAGTGGCTTACCTAGTGTCTCATAGTAAGTAAAGGTTTGAGTAAGGATTTGAAGTTAAGTTTTCCTGACTGTAAAAGTGGAACCCACCCCTTCTCACCCCAAAACACACACACACACACACACACACGCGCGCACACTTTTACTTGGATGCCTAGATTATTTTGGCAGGAATGTCAAATGTATGAGAAGTGAAATCAGTCTGGAAAACTATACTGGACAAAGATTGTGGGAAAGCTTTAAATTATATTTTATCCTGGAGACAACAGAGAGCCACTAAAACTTTTTGAAGAGAGGAATGAAATCACATAAATTTGAGGGGAAATTATTATTGTTTATCATTACAGCTTTCTGACTGTGAATGTGGAGTCTTCAGGTCATCATGCCATCTCTGAGTAACATCACTTCCCCTACCTTCCTCTTGACTGGTGTTCCAGGACTTGAAGTCTTTCACATTTGGATCTCTATCCCTTACTGTTGCTTTTGTGCTGTGGCCCTCTTAGGGAATGCTATGATCATGTATGTGGTGATCACTGAGCAGAGCCTCCATGAGCCCATGTACTACTTTCTCTCCATGCTGTCAGCCACTGATCTAGGTATCACAGTTTCTTCCTTGCCCACCACAGTTGGGGTACTTTGGTTCAATGCCAGGAAGATCAGTCTTAATGGCTGCATTGTACAGCTGTTCTTCCTCCATGGCTTCACCCTCATGGAGTCTTCTGTGCTTCTGGCCATGGCCTTTGACCGCTTCGTTGCCATATGCAAACCCCTGAGATATGCCACCATTTTAACCAACTCCAGAATTGCTAAAGCTGGGCTAGGGATTTTTGTGAGGATGTTAATCAATCTGATGCCCCTCCTCCTGCTCCTCAAGAGACTGTCATTCTGTGGCACCAATATTCTCTCACACTCCTACTGTTATCACCCAGATGTGATTAAACAGTCTTGTACAAGCACCAAGATCAACAGCATTGTTGGCCTCCTTGCCTTCATTATGACCTCAGGCATAGACATTCCATGCATCATCCTCTCCTATGTGCTGATTATCAAATCCATTCTCAGCATAGCATCTCCTGATGAGCGGCACAAGGCCTTCAGCACCTGTGTCTCCCATGTAGGTGCAGTTGCTATCTTCTATATCCCTTGGATCATTCTGGCGCTTGTGCACAGGTTTGGCCACAATTCCCTTCCATACATTCATGTGCTGTTGTCAAATCTCCACTTCCTCTTTCCTCCTGTACTTAATCCAATCATCTACAGTGTGAAAACCAAGCAGATCTACAGGGCCATTCTCAAGCTTTTCCGAACCAATGGGTCAAGGCTGTAACCATGGTAGGGGTACAGAGGGTGGGGTGCCCAGTATGGAGATGTGAACTCTTCATCTACCTATAGTCAGGGAGTTTGGTGTAGTAGAAAGGGAGTCAGAGGTCCTGGATTCAAATTCTGGATCTGTCATGTATTAACTATGAGATTTTAAATGGATAACTTTATCTATCTGGGCCTCAGTTTCTTTAGCTATAAAATGAAGAGAGTAGACTACATGACTTCTAAGATCCCTTCTCCTTCTATATATATATATAATCTGATAATTTTCCAGTACCTTTTAGTTATTTTTCCACCTGCTATGATCCCTTTTCTCTTCATTGTATTCTCCACTTAATTTCTATTTTGATGTTCCTGGTTGTTTGCTGGGCTGCCAAACTCTCACTGCCACCCAGAAGTCTCACTCCTCCCTAACAGTACTATATTTACTGCTCTTTTATTATATCCAAATACTCAACAATTAGTCCCTATTGATTGAATGGGAAGGGCTAGAAGTGATTTTCCTACAGCTAAACTGAAAATAATCATCGCACTACTTATGACTCTGCAGACAAGCAGCTTGTGGGTACAATGGCAGAATTGGTTGCCATGTTCCAAGTCATCTCATCCCCCCCCCATAAAAGAAGGGGCTAGACACCCTATAACTCCATTAATGTTAGTGTTAGATCACTGAGGACTTATCCATACTATAAAAAAAATTGAGACCCCAAAGGCAGCAAATCCCCAGCTTAGGAATTATTTGGAGTAAATTGTTTTGTTTTGTTTTGTTTTGTTTTTCCCCAGTGAAGACTTGGAGCTGCTCGTCTCTCCTTCCCCTTCCTCAAACATTTTTATCAAGTGGCCAGAAATGTTCCTCACTGAAAGGATTTCACATAGATTCTGCAAATATTGTTCAAATGTGTATCCTCATTCTGATTTCACTCTTTCTATATATGTACCTTGTCTCACATGTTTGTAACCTGGACGTTGTCTTTTATTTTTTCCTCTCTCTTATTACTTATGGTATAAGATCCTACTAATGCCAGCTTTGCAACATTTCTCACATCTGCCCTTTCCTCTCATTTCTAATTATTATTATTATCTTAATAGGGGCACTCATTACCTACCATAATAGACTCTTTTCTCCTCCTGTATATCCCCAGGTGATATTGCCCCCTTGCTCAAAAATCTTTACTTTTTCCCTGTTGCCCAACACAGAAAACTCAAATTCTTCTGCTTAGCATTCAGACCTTTGACCACCTAGCACTGCCTTACATTTTCAGCCTTATCTCATGTCTCTTACCTTTACATTTCTACACTTCAGCCAAACTGGACAATTCCCTGAATCCCAAGCAGGGATTGCATTTTCACAGTTTCATACTTTTACCCACATCATTTCCTATTCACGAAGTATATTATCATTCTCTCTTCATGTGTTGAATTCCTAACTTCTTATATTTAACTGGATTGTGATGTGCAAGGTGCTTTGCAATCCTTAAAGTGTTAAACAAATACATTATTGTTATTACTACCAGCCATCCATTAAAGCCCAACTCAAATACTTTCTCTTTTCAGGAGAATTTACTTATGCTCCCAATCAAAAGTGCATTTTTCTGCTTATATCTCACATAGCAATTTTTTTTGGAGGAGGGAAGTAACCAGAGGTGTGCTGGATCTATCTGAACCAGTTTGAAAGAATTGATTGTTAAATTTTAATGTGATATAAAGAAGAATGACATTGAAAGACTCAAGAATTCTGATAAAGTAAAAGACTGATCATGGAACTAACAATGAAGCATACAAGCTAATTTCTGATAGAGAAGCAATGGCTCAAAGCTGAAGAAAAGACACACATTTTCAGACATGGCCATTGTGTGAATTTGTTTTTTATGACCATGCTGATTTATCAAAAGGAAGATTTTTAATTTATTTTTTTCTTTTTAAATTCAGAAAAGAGGAATCTTGAGGGAGGAAGACAGTAGTGTATAATAATCATGTAAAAATGGGAGGTAAAAAGAAGAGGTTACTGAAACATTAAGAAAAACACATGCAAGAGAACAGAAGATTGGAAGAAAAATAAAGACACGCAGGACAGCTTTAAAATTAACTTGTTGAGGGGGCAGCTAGGTAGCACAGTCAATAGAGCATCACCATCACCACCATCACCACCATCATCATCATCATCATCATCATTATCATCCCATGTAGAACTTTGACTGCTTTCCTAAGATTAATGTGGTCTACAAGCTCAATGTAGTCTGCACCTTCAAATCACAGCCATCTTTAAAAACTTCCCCAAACAGAACAGACTTCTTCCTTTTGAGAAGTACATAAGAAAGTCAAGTAGTTTTATCAGTTCCAACAAACTGATCATTCAGAATCTATGAACATTAAAATACTGTGTGTGAGTTCATGATACTGTATCTTTACAGGAATAAATTGTGTGAACAAGTTATCTTAGGTTTTCTAGGAATCACTGACACTTCTCTGTATCGTAATTCTGTCATTGGTATCATGTCTGTAGCATAAGTTAGTCACTCAGTCTACCTGTAGCTACTGGATTGGTTCTCTGATATATCTAGCTCCAGTAGTATAGAGATACCAATTGGGGTGTAAGGGGTTTCAAGGAGGACTAGCAACTCTTGTGTGAGGTCTTGATTAGCCCTTTGCTTTCTTGATTTTTAAAAATTTAGTATTTTATTTTCCCCAATTACATGTAAAAACTATTTTGAACATTCATTTTTAAGATTAAGTTCCAAATTCTCACCCTCCTTCCCCACTCCCCTCATTGAGAAGGCAAGCAATTTGATATAGGTTATACATGTATAGTCATGCAAAACATATTTCCATATTAGCCATGTTGTAAAAGAAAACATAGACCACAATAAAAACTCAAGAAAAATGAAGTAAAAAAAAGGTATGCTTCTATCTATATTCGGACTTCATAAATTTTTTTTCTCTGGTGATGGATAGCATTTTTCATCATAAGTTCTTCAGAGTTGTCTTGGATCATTGGATTACCGAGAATAGTAATTAGCTTTTTTTAGGGCTATTCATTTACCTTTGGTATCCACATGTCACCCAACTCTCATCTGTGACTACAAGAAGCTGTAGCATATGCAGCAGTCACACTCTGATAAAACCACCTGTGCAGATGGGGTAAACCAGGTTGAAGATAACCAACAGACCTCAAACCCATTGGCAAGTTAGAAGAATTTCTAACCCAAGCATGTAAAGATGTCCCCTGGTGGAATGGGAGGATGAGAACAATTTGTTCCGATAGCCATGAAGGTGGTTGAAGTAGGTATGGTAGACTACTTAGAGCTTGATTAGGCATTTATGATACCAAGGTCATCCCCTGCATCCCAGACATCATCTTTCATTTTGATTTTTGTTTTGCCACTGGACTTTGATGACTCTGGAAGAAAAAGTGAGTCTGGACACTGTGCAACTCTGCCTCATTCAAATCCAATTCATGCTCAAGTCCAGACATCACTCTGTGATTTATTGGTCATCTTCAAAAATGAAAGATGTACAACAGCAATACTATCCATTAATTTTTCATTATGAGATATTCTCTCCAATCCACTAACATATTTAAGCTAAGCAATGGACATGTATAGTCTTATACAAATTGCAATTCTTCTAATAAAAGTTCACAGGCTTAGCACAAGAATGGGAAAATAATAGTTCTTCCCTCAAGTGCGTGTATAACATTCATTTTAATATCTTCTCATTTCATTGTCATATAGGTATCTCACTGGCAAGGAGGAATTTGAATAAAGCCCTATAAAAATTAAATTCTTCCTTATCTTTATAAATCATCTCTAAAGCTCACTATCTATGTGACCCTGAACACAATAGGCATAAGTTAATCATTGTTAGGTACTGAGCTTTAGAACATTGCCTGTATTCTGCTCATACTTTGAATAGACTAGAGGTGGGATCTCTTCCAAAACCTCAGATTTGCTTACCAGATCCAATGACCTTTTCTCAATTCTAATTCTCCTTGATCTCTCTGCAACCTCTGACACCACTGATAACCCTCTTCTCCTGATACTCACTTCTCTCTAGGTTTTCAGGAAAACATTGTCCCCTGGTTTTCCTCTTATCTATTCAACCGCTCCATCTCTGTTTCCTTCACTGAAACCTTATCCAGAAATGCCCACCAACCATTGGTGTCCAACAAGGCTCTGTTCTGGGCCCTCCTCTCTTCTCCCTCTAATACTTCATGTGGTGATTTCATCAGTTCCCAAGGATTTAGTTACCATCTCCATGCTGATGATTCTGAAATCAATCTATCCTGCCCTAATCTCTCTGCTGACCTCTGATTTCACATCTCCAATTGCCTCTAATCTCAAACTGGATGTCCAGTATACATTCTAAACTCAACATGTCAATGTGTCATTTTCTTTCTCCGTAAACCTTCTCCATCTCCTACTTTCCTTATTACTGCAGAGGATAACACCAACCTCTCGTTATATGTCATCCTCAAATCCTCACTTTTTCACACCTGCCATACCATTGATTTCACCTATGCAGCATATCTCCTATATGTCCTCTATTCTATATACTCTATATTCTCTTCTCTGAGACTGCCACCATTTTCTTGCAGGACCTCATTACCTCATGACAGAATTATTCCAATAGCCTGCTGGTGGGTCTGCTGGCCTCAGCTCTCTTGCTTTTCTAATATATGTTCTATTCAGCCACCAAAGTAACTTTCCTTAATTGCATGTGACCATCTCTCTGTCTGTCTTTGTCTGTCTATGTCTATCTATGTCTGTCTGTCTGTCTCTGTCTCTCTCTCTCTCACACACACACACACACACACACACACACACACACACGCTCCCACTCTATAAATCTCAGTGACTCTATCTTCTCCAGGGTAAAATACAGAATCCTCTGTTTGGCATTCAAAGCCCTTCTTAAACTAGCCCCTTACCCTTCCAATATTCTTTCATCTTACTCCTTGTCATATACTCATACATCCAATGACACTGGGCTCCTTGCCACTCCACA